AGTCGCGCGCCGGTGGCGCGGCCCGGCCCTCGCGCACCTCGCGGCAGAAGTAGCGCTGGAAGAGGTCGGTGAACTGCAGCGACACGAGCTCGGCGCGCAGCGGCGCGTGCTGCGGGTGCTCGCGGGCGAAGAGCCAGTACTGGCGGGCCAGCTCCCGGGCCGCGGCCACCGCGTGCAGCTCGCAGAACTCGCTCCAGCCGCGCGGGGACGCCGACGACGAGGACGCGGAGGAGGCCGAGGAGGGCTGCAGGGCGGGCCCGTTCATGGCGGAGACCGAGGGGGCGCGGCCAGGCTGAAAGACACGGCGGGAGGGGGGCAGAAAAGAGTGAGCAGATGACAGCTTCAAACCACCTCCAGGGGACACGTCATTCACCCCAGACACAACATCAAAAATCCAAAGTTACTCATAAAACCCAGTGCTGGTGAGGATGCAGGGAAATGGGCAGTCCCCTGCTATGTCACCCGTACTGTTAAGGGGTACGGCCTTTTGGGAGGGCAATTTCACAGGATCAGTTTCAGACCCAGTAATTCCACTTTTAAGGACTCAAGAGAAATACTTGCTCACGTGTGCAGAGAGGCATGTACAGGACAATCCCAACTAGCTGCAGTGTTTGCAACAGGGAAAAAGCAGATACGACCTCGATGCCATCAGAGGGAGACTGGTGAAATACACCATGGCACGTCTGCAGGCTGGAAAATTCTGCAGCGGTGGGAGAGGATGAGGAAGACCTCTGCCACCACCTCGGGAGATCTCCAAGGCTCCCCATGAAGCAAAAAAGCACACCACTGAACAATACACACTGTGCCATCCTATTTACAGAAACACAAAACTATTGATTGTCATGTGCACGTAAATGTATTAGAGTGGTGGGCCAGAGGGGTGTGGCCGGAGCAGACCCTTCCAGAAACAGTGGTGACCTGTGGGGAGGAACCAGAATTGGGTGCAGGGGGAAAGTAACCACGGAAGACTGTTACTACTTGTCTCTAGAAAACACGGTTAAGAACACAGCCTGGAGCCTGGGCTCAGATCCCAGCAGCACCACTTACTAGCTGTGTGACCGTGGGCGAGTTACTTGGTTTCTCTGCCTTCCCTTCCCCATCTGTAAATGGGGACCATGCCTGCACGACCTCACAGGAGTGTCATGAGGATTAACTGAGTTAATAAATGTAAAGGCCTTGGAACCAAGGAAAAGCCTAATAAGGGCTGGCTGTTGTATCGTTACTTAAATGTTATAATAACAGTGTATTATTGGCGTCGATAAAAATAAATACAAAACAACGAATTAGGAAAAATTAACAAGACTCACAAAGGGTGCAAAGGAATTTCCTGCTCTGATGGAGGAAAGTTGGGGCAGACAGACCCCCTACCTGCCCATCCCCACTGGAGCTCCCTCCCCGCCCCCCGCGGGTCCTTTCCTAGGCGCCACACAGTGGAGATGGCAGAAGCCCCCACCCTCTGCTGTCCACGGTGCTGAAGCCTGGCCTTCTCCGGTTACCATCAGTACCGGCCTGCCCTCCAGCTAAGCCTGGCTGGGCCTGAGCCCCTGCTGAGGACTACGTAATCATGGCTGCTCATTCATCCCCCCATCACTAAAACATTCCTGAGGGCCTACTGTGTGCCAGGCACTGTGCGAGGCCCTTGGGATACAGCAGTGAACCACACAGAAAGAAATCCCTGCTCTCCTGGGGCTTACACACACACACACACACACACACACACACACACGCTGTGTGGCCTGGCCCTCTCCGAGCCGAGTGTCCTCATGTCTCAAACGGGGACCGCATGGTCTCCGCCTCCTAGGATGGCTGTAAGGAGTCCTTGCGAGGGCGCTCAAGGTGGAGCTCTGCACCTGGAAACTGAGGTTCTTTCTGCCACGTCCCACTCCGAGGGCTCCTTCTCTCTGTGGGACCCTGTCACCCCAGGCAGACCTGCGGGGCAGCTGTAAGGACATGGAGGGCTGCCCCCGCCATCTCCAGGCCAGGGTGGTGACCCGGTAGCTGACTGCAGCAGGGCACCCTAGAGGGCGCAGAGTAGGTGCCACTGCACCAGCTGGGATGGTGCTCTGCACAGTCGACACATCTGCACATCACAGGTCCTCGGCACCTGCACACAGTAGGCACTTTGCACGTGCTAGGTAGGCAGTAAAAGCTGCTGGGCAGAAGGGAAGGGGGGGCCGGCCCCGTGGCTCAGCGGTTAAGTGCTCGCGCTCCGCTGCTGGCGGCCTGGGTTCGGATCCCGGGCGCCCACCAACGCACCGCTTCTCCGGCCATGCTGAGGCCGCGTCCCACATACAGCAACTAGAAGGATGTGCAGCTATGACATACAGCTATCCACTGGGGCTTTGGGGGGAAAAAATAAATAAATAAAATCTTTAAAAAAAAAAAAAAGAAGGGAAGGGAGAGGGGCCACGTGTGCCCTTGACCACCATACTCTGCCAAGAAAACACCCCTGTAGCCAAAAAGGGGGGGTCTTACCTGCACATGTGGGCCACCCGCACCCATGCCTTGACACCGGTGAGGCAGCACCATCCTCACGGGCTGGGGACCGGAGCTCTCAGACTCAGCCTCCCGCCCCACCCACCAGACCCCATGGATCTGCCCCGCTCGTGCTGGCTGCCCCGGGAGCCTGCAGCAGGGGTCCCCTCTGCCCCGCCTGCTCTCAGTCGGCTTCCAGTCCCACACACGAGAAGCCTTCTCTGAGCTCATCCTCTGAGTCGAGTCCTGAACTTATCCTTCAGCACGCCGTCACAGGCCATCCTTTAGTAGCCATGATTATTTCATTAGCAACTATCTCCCCAGCAGACTGTGAGCTCCATGAGGCCAGGGGCCACTCCCTGCTCTATCCCCAGTTCCTAGTATGCAGCAGGAGCTCAGCAAATGCCTGTTGAATGAATGAATATATGAATGCAAGAGGTCAGTTGGATTTGCAACCTCTGGCTCCCCTGGCAGATGGGTGGCAGCCAGCACCCACCAACAGCGACCTGTCATTGGGCCTCTGTCCGTGTCTGTCCCTGTGCCTGGAACACCTGTCCCTGCCCACTCCATATCTCAGAGTCTCAAAGTCTAACTGCAGGGCCAAACGCTAGCAGGAGCCTTCTCAGAACAGCCGTGCCCGCCCCAAGCTGCCTCACTGCCTGGGCGATGGCCGGGAGCCCTCCTCGCAGGCCCCCACTCCGGTTTCCCTGTAGGAAGAGCACTTGCTACACATCACACGTTTTTCTAACTGCTTTTGCAAAGTTAACGCTCCCAGGCTTCACAGCAGCCCTGGGAGGCGGGGCCAGTAATTGCTCCCACTTTACAGATGGAGAAACTGAAGCTCAGCGAGGTCCCACGGCTAGCGATGAAGGAAACCCCCACGCAGAAGGCACCCCCAAAATGCCTGATCGGTGCCCACATGCACGCCACGAGGAAGGCTCACTTCCCAGTGACTGTTTGTTGAATGAATGAGTGGGAGCCAGAGGAGGGATATAAAGGTCTCAGTCAGCTCCTGCCGGAGTCAGGAGGCATCAGCTCCTCTGTCCAGCCCCAAACCCACCAGGTGGTCAGGAAAATAGCCACAGGGTAAACATTTTAAAACACGCTGATTCCGGGCCGGCCCTGTGGCTTGGTGGTTAAGTGCGCGCGCTGCAATGCTGGTGGCCCGGGTTCGGATCCCAGGTGCGCATTGAGGCACCACTTCTCCGTCCATCCTGAGGCCGAGTCCCACATACAGCAACTAGAAGGATGTGCAGCTGTGACATACAACTATCTACTGGGGCTTTGGGGGGAAAAAATAAAAATAAATAAAATCTTTAAAAAAATTAAAAAAAAATAAATAAATAAAACACGCTGATTCGATATTTGCATGCATTGTGAAATGACCACCACTGTAAGTCTAGTTATGTTGTACACCTGAAACTAACAGAAGGTTATGTCAAATATATCTCAATTAAAAAGATAAATAAAAATTAAAAAACAAAAATAACGAATAAGTGACACTTTTTCAGGCTTTCTATGTGCCCTGCTCTGTGCTAAACAGTTTGCATAGTATGTTCACTCGTCTAATCCCCTCTGGAGGGGGATTCCTAGCGTCGTGCCCATTTTACAGAAGGGAAAACTGAGGCACGGGAGGAGTGGCTCGCCCAGGGCCCCACGGCCAGTGAGGGGCAGAGCTGGGAAGAGAACCTGGCCTGCTCCGTTGGCAAGTAGACCTGAGCAACACTGCTCACTCCCCAGGGTGGGCCTGGTCAGAGCAGGCACTCCAGAAACATCACCGGTATGAATTAGTGACCTCCTGGGGTTGACAGTCGCGCTCTTGGAGTCACGCTCCTGACGGCGTGGACTGACAGGAAAGGCAGCGAGGCTCTGAGAAGCCCCACCACCACCCAGATGACCTGTCCACCATGGAGCTACCACCCACACCTGGGTCCACATCCTGCCTCTGCCACTTCCTCGCTGTGTGATGCAGAGGAGGGTGCTTCCCTCTCTGAGCCTCAGTGTCCCCATCTGTAAAATGGGCATTTGTCTCGGCGCGTTCACTGGGAGCATCTAAGAACTGGCGTGGGGCTCGGGAAGCGGGTGGCTGTTG